TATACTACACGCACGAATGATCGTTTTTTGCCTTATGAGATATAAATGTAAACAAAAACTATATCTTCTGACACGTTTTAAACGTTAAAATAATTTTAAATCTGTGACGTATTTGAATGACTCGTGACTACGTAAATCAAATCAGAGTCGAAACTTTCTGAACTGTTTTCTTTTAAATTTATTACCATTTACTCGTTTGTTTATAAAGTATCTGGTGACACTTTTCTGAATTTAACATTTTGTTTTAATGGATTACATCAATCAAAAAAACAAATGATCTATAATAAATTATCTTTTATCGTTTTTAGGAAAAAAATAATATCAAAATAAAATGTAAAACCGTTAAAAATAAATGCAGTCGAGTATTGAGCATAAAAAAAACAAAAGATAAATACGAAAATGAAATCATAAACGAAACAAATGAAAAAAAAACCACTGACGTCATTTCCGTTTTGAATGAATCGATAATAAAATTTAACGAACATGGTGATGATGATGATGATGATGATGGAGATAATGCGATGAAAAAAATAAAAAATAAAAACAATGATTTTATATCGGCGGAAAGTGACGTCATTAAGAAAAAAATTAAAAAAAAAAAGAAGAAAAAATATAAGAAATTAAGTAAGAAAATATCTAAAACGAATATTTTTTTTCTCGAATATAAGGAGAATAAAAAAAAAGAAATAAATGATGATGATTACCACGATGAAAGTTCAACCGTAACAAATAAAATACATATAAATAATGATATTTTAAATGAAAAATTATTTAATGAATGGTTTGGTGATAAAAATGATAATATACTACTTAATAATAATAATAATTATTCTCCGTTGTTTTTAATTAAAAATACCGACGTGAAATCAAATTGTAAACCCGTTAATAAAAAAATTATTTATTTAAGAATACCGAAAAAATGGAAGAAAATAAATAAATACACTTGTAATAATGATTTTAATTACGATGATTACCAATGTTTTCAAAAAGATTTTTTTCCCAACGGTTTCAACGTTTTCGACGGAGTCGATAAATTATTAAACGATAATAAAAATATTAAATATCCTTTGAAAATTCTCATCAATGGTGATAATATAAAAATCCCCGTTTTATTCGAAGAACTTTGTCAAAAAGAAAAAAAAAAAAGAATTTATCAAAATTTTTCAAATATATCAATGAGATTCGTTTTGGTCGATGAAGATGGTAATAATCAAATAAATCCGTTGAAAAAATTATTTAAAAAATTTTCAGAACCAAATAAAAATAATATTAAAAATAATAATAATAATAATAATAATAAATCAAAAAAAAATTACGTTTTTGGTGTTACCAAATGCGGATGTAAAAATAAAGTAAGAATATTATTATTATTATTACTTATTTAATTTTAAAAAAAAAATAATAATAATAAATTTAATTTTTTTCCCCATTTTTTTTCTATTTACAGAATACGGGTTTAGTCAATTTGAAGGGTCTTAATGAAAAATTACAATTGTAATTAATAATAATAATAATAATAATAATAATAATTTAAAAACTTTTTTCTTTTAGTGAATTCATGTTTTTTTTTTTTTTTTTTGAATGCTTTAATAATTAAATCGATTTAAATTTTAAATCTTAAAATCATTTTTAATTATTTGTTAAAATTTTATACATCAATCAATCAATCAATCATTTGAAATGTGAATAATATCAAAATAATGTTGAAAAAATTAAAAAATAAAATAATCTATTATCTAACTATTATCTTTTTTTTATAAATTTATTATAGCCATTTTCTATTTTGAGAATAGACCAATCAGAAGTTAATTCTTTGGCAAAAATTAAATTATATATAAACAAATTTTTTTTAGTGACTTACTTTAAAATAGAAATATATATATATTGTATCAGAAAATTAATAATAAACAGCACTTAAACTTGATGAAAATCTATTAGAAAAAAATGAATTGAAATCCAATCGGAGTAAAAATTGTGATAGATGTTGACTGCTAGAATGAACAACTTGACTATTGATTCCAGATAAATGATTCAAAAGAAATTCAACGAAGGCTTCGAAACGAGTCAACATGCAATTTATTTTTTCTTCTCTTTTTTCCAAACCGGATTGATATTCTACTAGATAACAATATTCGTCGCATAATTCTAATATTTTAATTATACTTCGTTTTATGGGATTTTGTATTTTGTTTTCCGTTTGATCGGCCTAATTATGTAAAACCAAAAAGGAAACAAATTAGAGATAGAAGTTATGTGGAAAACCCTTGTTCAAAGTATTTGTACAAAATTTACTCACACATAAAAATAATTGTCGGTTAAGATTTCCCAAAAATATCGCATGAGCGTTAAGTATTTTATCGAAATCTTTGCTCGTTTCGATTTCGTTTAAAAGTATCATAAATTGCGTGTTTAAAACGTCGACGTGAAAATAATATTGAAGATTGCTGACGAGAAACCATAAATTTCTATGCAATTGACGCTTTTTTAAATTATCTTCGTCGTATCTGAAAAATTACATTGAAATTGAATTTAATTTTTTTTTTTTTGTTTTTACACAAATATTTTGTGCGGCAGAACACAAATAAAGGTAAAACTCACGTTTTAGATTTATCGAAAAGCCAAATTTTTCTAATTTAACTTCGATTTTTTTTAAACGCAATAAAAATCTAAATATTTTATTATATAATTTTAACGTTTCTTTGGTGAAAAGCAAATGAAGCGGCCATGGCACGTGATATTTTACATATAATTGATTCCATTCTCCTTCGGATTCATCTTTGTTTTTTTCTGATAATCCATCGACTAATTCCAAACTTAATCTTTGTAAAGTTTCTTCTTTAATTAAAACTTTTCTCGCCGACTCTTGTAGAAGCAAATTAAGATCTGGTGATAATTTTATTAAAAACAATTTTTTAATCCATTTTCACAAAATAAAAATCAGAAAAAGAAAATTGTATAAAAACTAACCGAAACTGACGGGAACAGATTTCGATGATAAATATCGATCAGCTTGAGTGACAAATTCATAAAATAATTCTCCTCGACCGAGTAGAAAAAAATCGTTAATTAAATGAAATTGTTCAATAAGTTTTGCATCTTGGACTGCAAGAATCCATAATTGAAGAGTAACGCATGAAGATACTTGAGAAACTACATTATTTACTTTTCCATTTTCATTCCATCTGCTTAAATGTCTCAAATCTGCTATTTTCTCTTGCATTTCTCTTTCTTTTTCACCGAATAAACCACTTTTGTCAACACAAATTTCACTTCTTTTCTCTTCCCATTCTAAAATAATAGTTTTTTTTATTAACTTTTAATTTTAATTTTAATAATAGCAAGGATCATTATTCGATTTACCTTCGTTAACTAAATATTTAGGATTTGATCTTAAAAATAAAACAGTTTGTCCAACTCTTAATATTTTTAATGCTAATGAAATATCTATGTGACTAGGAAGCATATTGCAATTTAAACAATATTTTTCAAAAGGTGTATTTTCATTTGCTTTTAAAGAACTTTCATGTATAAAAAATTCATTTTGAGTGTCTAACAAATCTCCATATAACATCCACGAAGAAATTTGACGAAAAAATATTTCATTAATACCTTCAATTATCCTTAAAAATAAAAATCGTTAATCAATAATAATTTGTAAAACCAGTTGATTATTTTAATTCTAAACTATTATTTAAATGAAATCTAAAAAAGTTATGTGCTTACAAAACAACAGCATTTCTTGTAGGCCCCACATCGGATATTAAAATTTGATGGAGATGCTGAAGTATTAAACATCCATAAGAATTTTGGCTTTTAATCTTTAAAATTCGAAAAGAAAAACAAAAATAAATAAATAGGATTTTGAAATTTTGACTTAATATTCAAAAGCATTAAAAATACATTACTGATATAACAAGAGAAAGCAAGCCAGAAAGCAAATCTGTATGTCTATGCATTTTACTCCATATGAAATGTAATGAATTATGAGATTGGGATAAAATTTCATTTTCCAATAAAACAATGTCGTCCCAATAAGGCCCAAGAGCGAAACTTAAAAATTCTGCAAATGCTAATATATATAATCCAATTTTATCATTATCTTTGAATTGTTGACTTTTGATTAAATCTATATACTCTTTGAGTTTGACATAGTTTTGTCCCAAACTCAATATTCTTTCTAATAAAACTGCTTCACTAATATGAAGTAATTCTTTGATGGCCTAAAAAAAAAATTCTATACTTCAAATAAAGGTAGATTTGTTTAATTAATGCAAATTGTATTTACTTAAAAATAGTAATAACAGACAAATGTAGAAAATCTTACTGTAATGAATAGGTAAATATCCAATTAAGTGAACATTATGCATTAATTTGTTATAATACACACTGTGCATTAATTATAATTAAGAAAAATAAAAAGAATTGCAATGAAATTAAACAAATATATTTTTAAATAAAAATTACAATTTTATAAAATCCATTTTTTAAAATTTTTTGATATATTTATTATATTAAATAATACTAAGCTTTGAATTTAACAAAATTAATGTTTATATTTTTAGTGTTTCACATAACATTTAACAATAAATTTTTAATAAATAAATGACTTACAAACTTGTAAGATGTAAAAGCAGATTTTGTTCCGGAAAGGGCAAATAATACTTCGTGATAAATATCACTACCCTGAACCTTTGATATACTATATCGCATATTTTTTAAAAATATTATTATAAATCGATTAAGAATCCGTTAATAAAGTAATATAAACATTACTTGCTCTAAGTCACCGCCTTTTTTGAATTTAGGTTTAATGAAAATTAAAAATTTTATTTTAATAATTTAAGAGTAAGAAATAATATTTTGTCAAAAAGTGATTTAGTTTTTATTATTTATTATAAAAGAATGTGTATAAAAATAAAAATTATAATTTAATTTAAAGTTTTACTATTAAATATTAAAAGTAAATATTTAACCTCT